CTAAGGCGAAACACGCTCCGCAAATCAAACATTGCTTGTTCAGCGAAACACGCTCAGCTGAGCAATGTTTCTTGTTTCGGGAATCCGCACACAGCCACGAACATCGAGCGAAACATGTTTCGCTCCACGTTCCGGTGTTTTGCTTGGGTGTGTGCGTTGGGCTTTAGCAGCAGGTTAGTTCTACATAAAAACGCCAATGGTTGCTGTCCGACGTCATATCATCAAGAGTGTCATAATATGACAAGTAGTCAATATGACACAGTCGTCAATATGACACAGCAGTGTCATAATATGACACACGAGACTATATTATGACATTCCTGATGTCATCAGAGAACCTGATAAGATTTGTGTAATAACAGTATGTATGAGTACTAAGCTAGAGACGTTAATTAGGTTGTTTGACAAATGTACTTGCATGATTTCGATGCGGAGGTATCGTGATTAACTAGAGCACCTAGCGAATTATAATCTATTGATAAATTATTAATCATAAAAAATATTATTAATAAATTAATATTTATTAATATACTATCACTCATGTCCGCTTCACACACCATCAGGAACTTCTCACAATGCTTGAGATGTGATGTGATAACTCTCTATCATAACTCCGTGTGTCTCTATACCTGGCAGAGTTGCTGCAGTGCCTGCTCCTGCTGCAGTAGGAGATTGTACTGAAGCTCTCTCCGCTCTGCCTCGTGCTGCTGCTGCTGCAGATCGACCAGCTCTGTTTTTTCCTACAGGTGTGTAAACATTCGCTTAATGTAACTGTTATATGTGCCAACATATGTTTGTTTAGGTTTGCGCGAACATAATAGACTGTGCAAACAAATGGGAATAATGAGTAACAGCGAAAGCAGAACTGTGCCATTACGTCTTAAATAGTTAATGAACTAACATAAATATAATAAATATAATAATATAGTTAATAGTAATTAACTAACGCAATATATGATTGAATGATGACAATATACTGCAGCAAGGCTAACAACGTTTGCGTAATATAATGTACCTCATCGCCTATTACGAGTGAGTCCAGTTTAGACGTTAAATCAAGTCGTTCTTGTTCATGTCGTGACGTCATCTCATCTTGAGCTGCCTGCAGACAGATATGTCATCATTTACGCATCAACCCATGAAAAGTATTTCACAGGCAAATCAAATCAAAACCAGAAGATGCATCTAAAAAGATCGCAGATTGAAAAGAAACTGATTCTCCGTCAGCTCTGCACCACAACATTCGCGCGTGTCTATTACTGTATCAGGTGACAGTCAAACTAGTTTGCTTATATAAATATAATATATATATGTATGTATCAGGAGTAGATAATAGGGAGGAGTGTGACATCAATAAACAAGGGAAATTCGTCATTTACTAGCCTTAAAATACCTACGATTTACTACGCGTAACTCATCCAACTTGAGCTCAAATCGGACACAGTACATTCGCCAATCATCGTACGAAATCGTTTCCTCGTAGACACCCGCAATCCGGAGATACAGCCTAAAACGTACGATACGATTCTCCATTCTTTGGACATCAATTCAACGCCATTGCGCGCCTATAATTCAAACAAAAGGCAGCTACCTAACGCGCTATTGCTAACTGAGCAAGGGATGTGGCTCGCTGGGAGATTAGGCATCAACACTCGGCGAGATAACCTTTGACCCGGTACACAGCTACACAGGCCACCTTTGACCCGGTACACAGCTACACAGGCCACCTTTGTACATAGCTGGCATGCCTTCACGCACGCACGCCAACCGCATGATTAGCTCGTCGAGTGTTGCGCCGATCTCCAATCCCCCCGCGAGCCACAACGCCACATTCAGCTATCCGAGAGAGCAAACACATCGACTGCGCGGCAGTGTTGCT